GTTTTGGAGTTGTAGTTCACCTACATCCAGAGATCACTGTGGACTCAAAAAATGATGGATCTGGACCAAACTTGGGACAAGCACTCAATACGCCCAAATATGAACACAGATGGAGTTTGGGGGAAATAGACCTTGACATTTGGGAGTTGTAGTTGCTGGGATTTATAGTTCACCTACAATCAAAGAGCATTCAGAACTCCACCGACGATAGAATTGGGCCAAACTTCCCACACAGAATCCTGATGCCCAACAGAAAATATTGTGTTTTCTGATGGTCTTTGGCGACCCCTCTGACACCCCCTCATGACCCCCTCAGGGGTCCCAACCCCCAGGTTGAGAAACACTGATTTATACCCTGCTCCATCTCCCCCAAGGGGACTCAGTGCGGCTTACATGAGGCCATGCCGATCAGTACAGTACGCAACAATATAACACAAGATCATAATAAAACAAACAAAAATAAAATACATGAAATGCAAAACAATGTAATAACACAACAATATAAAATCAGACATTAAAACACAAAGGATTTTGCTGGGCAGGGGCAAATTTGGGATAAAATTTTAAAACACTGGGAGATAGGACAATGTCAGACATCGGAAGGAGGATCCGGGGATGAGGAAGGATTTAATAATAATAATAATAATAATAATAATAATAATAATAATAAACCTTTATTTGTACCCCGCTACCATCTCCCGAAGGACTCGGTGCGGCTTACAAGAGGCCGAGCCCAAATACAATAGTAAAACAATAACAACAGCAATAACTCAAAAAGACAAAGCAATAACATTAACAACACACAATGACACAATTAAAAACAATGGCAGGGCAAAATGGAATGAAAAGTTAAAAAGTGCTGAGCATGACCAGGTGGGGTGTTTGGAAGGGGGTGGGCAAATAGGTATCCTAGATCTCTGATAAAGTGCGTTGGGACATAATACTAGGAGTTTCCTTATTCTGGAAAGGCACACTGGAACAACCATGTCTTCAAGCTCCTCCTAAAGATTGCTAGTGACGGGGCCTGCCTGATGTCTTTACGGAGAGAGTTCCAGAGTCAAGGGACCACCACCGAGAAAGCCCTATCCCTCATCCCCACCAATTGCACCTGCGACGCACGAACCATAAGATAAAGTGCTACTGAGGTCATTTTGTGCAAAGTTTTTGGTCAGGGAGTATCTTACATTCAATCACTGAAGGCACATTGGAATAACCAGGTTTTCAGATTCCTCCTGAAGATTGCCAGCATGGGGGCTTGCCTGGGGAGTGAGTTCCAGAGCCGAGGGGCCACCACAGAGAAGGCCCTCTCTCTCATCCCCGCAAGTCGCACTTGTGATGCGGGCGGGAACGAGAGAAGAGCCTCTCTGGAAGATCGAAGAGATTATGTGGGTTCGTAAATGGAAATGCGGTCGCAACATGTTACTTGTTGTTTTGAATGTGGACAGAATGGCTGTCCAGTGAAATTTTCTGTTTTCCATGTACTAAAATTAGAAAAACGGCCTAAATGTACTAAAATTAGAAAAAGGGGGGGGGGGGTGGAATAGCCATTATCCCACATACTTGTTATCTCAAAATATAACACATTATTTCTAGCCTCTGATGGGATCCCAACAAACACAGAGAGGGATTTGTACATTCACAGCAGGGCAACCTTCCCACCATTTTATGGATTGTAGCTTTAGATTTATGGGAGGCACGGGCAAGCAGTCAGAAGATTCCTGGAAGCTGGGAACATGATGAGTAACATCGAAGTGTTGATAATTAAATAGAGAGGTACTTGCTGGAGCAGGTGTACGTACATCTTTGTTCAACGTGCCAAGGGAATTCAAGTGTGTCTGAGCCAAAAACTTTTAGGATGCATGTTCAACGGAATGGAACATTTGGAAATCGGCCATATCCGCAGAATGGAGTTTTGTTTACTCCAGACAAGCAATTTCAACACATAGAAACACACACACAAACCACACTCCAAATTCTCTTATGCTTATAGACACAAACAGATGCCACCTCCATTCGTTCACCCTAATCAGAACCCATTAATTCGATGTGTGGTAAAGAAAAAACACACACTTGACATTGAATTAATAGTGGCTCCGGTTGTCATTTCCAAGTACCAAAGAGTAGATCATCACAAAGCAGATTGGCAAAAAGTAAGAGATGCCTGTATTGGGACATTGGGGTGGTTTCTGGGCTAGCAGCATTTTCTTCTGACATTTCTCCTACATCAATGGTTGGAATCTTTAGAGCAGGGGGCCTCAAACTAAGGCCCAGGGGCCAGATACGGCCCTCCAGGGTCATTTACCTGGCCCCCACTCAGGGTCAACCTAAGTCTGAAACGACTTGAAAGCAACAACAACAACAACAACAACCCTTTAAACTCTACAAACATCTACCTCTGAGGATGCTTGCAATAGATGCAGGTGAAACATCAGGAGAAAATGCCTCTAGAACAGGGGTCCTCAAACTAAGGCCTGAGGGCCAGATACGGCCATCCAGGGTCATTTACCCGGCCCCCGCTCAGGGTCAACCTAAGTCTGAAACGACCTGAAAGCAACAACAACAACCCTATCTCATCAGCCAAAAGCAGGCCCACACTTCCCATTATATTTGTTAAAATTGTTCTTCATTTTAATTATTGCATATTATTCGAGAACACAGAAATGCTGGACCACTAACAAACACCATGTCAGACTACACAGAGAAGCCATTGAAATCCACAAGTATGTGGCCAATTTCAACAGAAAGGAGGAAACCATGAAAATGAACAAAATCTGGCTACCAATATTTAAAAAAAATTATAACAGACAGTAAACAATCAGGCACATCTAATCACCTCTCAACAAAAGATTCCCCCAGGCACTGCCAAGCCATCAAATGCTAATTAAGGTGGTCAGTTGAAACATTCACACCTAGTTCCAGCAGACAAGAGTCCTTTGTCCCACCCTGGTCATTCCACAGATATATAAACCCATTTTCCTACTTCCAACAGACCTCACTACCTCTGAGGATGCTTGCCATAGATGCAGGCAAAACGTCAGGAGATAATGCCTCTAGAATATAGTCATATAACTCGGAAAAACCTACAACCCAGTGATTCCGGCCATGAAAGCCTTCGACAATAATTATTGCATTGTTTTTAAGTGTTTTTTGCACTACAAATAAGATATGTGCAGTGTGCATAGGAATCAATTCATGTTTTTTTCAAATTATAATCCGGCCCTCCAACAGTTTGAGGAACTGTGACCTGGCCCACTGTTTAAAAAGTTTGAAGACTCCTGCTTTAGAGGATCACTTGCTTTACCATCATCAGATCCTCTGAAGATGCCAGCTACAGAGCAAGCAAAAACATCAGGAGAAAATGCTGCTAGAACACTGTCATACAGCCCGGAAACCACACAACACCCCAGTGATTATGGCCATGAAAGCCTTCGACAATACAATGTACGTATAGTTTAAGAAAAAGGGGAAAGAGATTCCTGGAGACACCTGTAGAGAACATCTCAGAGACCTCAATAGTACACTGATCTTGGAACACATACCTGAGCCTTCCCCCTTCCATGGAGGTCTTGTGGGGAAGGGATCCCCACACCACCTTTTCTTCTGTGCCACAGGTCTGGATTTGGAAGATCAGGTTATGTTTAAATGCCTCACGTAGGAGCAACATCAATCGCCGTCCCTCTGAATTGTCTGGGAGGAAAGCCTCAAAGCGGCCTCCTCGGTATGGATAACCTGGACGAGGATGTCCTGCCTTTGGGGAAAAAGAGAAAGTGGGAATATAATGTAGTGTATGTATATATATCTTGTAAGCTGCTCTGAATCCCCTTCGGGGTGAGAAGGGCGGCATATAGATGTCGTAAATAAATAAATAAATATTTATAAATCATTAAACATCCGTATAACAATCATTAGCGCCTCAACAGTAAAATCAGAATCCAGTCTCATCATCCATTATTCCGTATTCCTATGTCTGCAACTGCCAGCAGTCCTTCTGATCGGTCTATCTACCTATTTATTATTTACTAGCTGTGCCCTGCCACGCGTTGCTGTGGCCTATAGTAAAACTTATCAAAGTTGAGGTAGATATCTGGACTATTATGAAAGAGAGGTACCTACCTATTCCTTCCCCCTTTTCCTCCCCCTTTCTCTCCTTTCTTCCTTCTCTACCTCTTTCTTTCCTTCCTTCTTTCACTACTTGGTTTCATCCTTCTCCTTCTCTCTTTCCTTCATTCCCTCCCCCTTTCTTCCTTTGCCTTTCTTACCTCCCTGTTTGCTTCCTTCTTTCTCTTTTTATTTCCTTTTATTTCACCACCATCATAACAATAACAATAATGCAATGCATTGCCTCTGGGACCTGACACCTCTCCCATCCCCCCTAAAAGGGTCTCATAGGAATAATAGCATAATAATAATAGAAATAACAACCTTTACCCGCCACGTGTTGCTGTGGCCAACCTTCCCTCTTTCTCTCCTTCTTTCCCTCCTTCCTTTTTTCCTTCCCTCCCATCTTTCCTTCTCCTCTTCCTTCTCTATCTCTTTCCTTCCTTCCCCCTTTTTCTTTCTCTTCTGGTCTCTTTTCTTCCTTCTCTCTTTCCTTCTTTCCTTCCCTCCCTCTTTCTCTACATCTTCCCCCTTCCTTCACCCCCTCTTTCCTTCCTTCATTCCCTTTTTTCTTCTCTCCTTCCTTCCTTCCCCCTTTTTCTTTCTCTTCTGCTCTCTTTTCTTCCTTCTCTCTTTCCTTTTTTCCTTCCCTCCCTCTTTCTCTACATCTTCGCCCTTCCTTCACTCCCTCTTTCCTTCCTTCATTCCCTTTTTTCTTTCCTTCTCTCCTTCCTTCCTTCCCCCTTTTTCTTTCCCTCCCTCTGTCTCTCATTTCTTCCTTCTCTATCTCTTTCCTTCCTTCCCCCTTTTTCTTTCTCTTCTGCTGTCTCTCTTTCTTTCTTTCCTTCCATCTTTCCTTTTCTTTCCTTTTCTTTTTCCTTCTTTCTCTAACTTTCCTTCCTTCCCCCTTTTTCTTTACCTCCCTTTCTCTTCTTTCCTTCCTTCCCGTCTTTCCTGGATTTTGACAGGGCGGGAAGGGGCAGGGTGGGGTTTGGAGGTGGCGTGAAGTAAAAGGAGGTAAGATTGGAGCGGGGGAGTGATGGAGCGTGGGGTTGTGTGTGTGTGTGCGGCGGTGGGGGGAGTGATGGAGCTTGGTTGTGTGTGTGTGTGCGGCTGGGGGGAGTGATGGAGCGTGGGGTTGCGTGTGTGTGTGCGGCGGCGGGGGGTGGGGTTGCGTGTGTGTGTGGCGGCGGGGGGAGTGATGGAGCGTGGGGTTGCGTGTGTGTGTGTGTGGCGGCGGGGGGAGTGATGGAGCGTGGGGTTGCGTGTGTGTGTGCGGCGGGGGGAGTGGGGTCGTGTGTGTGTGTGGCGGCGGGGGAGTGATGGAGCGTTGTGTGTGTGCGGCGGCGGGGAGAGTGATGGAGTGTGGGGTTGCGTGTGTGTGTGGCGGCGGGGGGGAGTGGGGTTGTGTGTGTGCGGCGGCGGGGGGAGTGATGGAGTGGGGTTGCGTGTGTGTGTGCGGCGGGGGGAGTGATGGAGCGGGGTTGCGTGTGTGTGTGCAGCGGCGGGGGGAGTGATGGAGTGTGGGGTTGTGTGTGTATGTGCGGTGGGGGGAGTGATGGAGTGTGGGGTTGCGTGTGTGTGTGCAGCAGCGGGGAGAGTGATGGAGCGTGGGGTTGCGTGTGTGTGTGCGGCAGCGGGGGAGTGATGGCATGTGGGTTGTGTGTGTGTGTGCGGCGGGGTGTGTGTGTGTGCGGGAAGCAGCGCAGCGGGGCTTGGAGTGGGCATGGCTTCCGCAGAGGGAACGTTGGCCGGAAGGCCGTGTGCGCGCGCCAGGGAACTTGCGGCTGGGCGCCAATGCGCATGCTCAGTTGTTTTGCCATTTTGTGAGTGTGTTGTTGTGTTGTTTTTCATTTTGAGTAGATATGTTTGTACATTGTGGGTTGTGTTATTGGCATGTGAATTTTGGTTAAGTTTTGTTGGGGTTTTTTTTGAGTTTTGTTGTTTTGCCGTTTTGTGAGTGTGTTGTTGTGTTGTTTTTCATTTTGAGTAGATATGTTTGTACCTTGTGGGTTGTGTTATGGGCATGGGAATTTTGGTTAAGTTTCATTGGGTTTTTTTTAGTTTTGTTGTTTTGCCGTTTTGTGAGTGTGTTGTTGTGTTGTTTTTCATTTTGAGTAGATATGTTTGTACCTTGTGGGTTGTGTTATGGGCATGGGAATTTTGGTTAAGTTTCGTTGGGGTTTTATGAGTTTTGTTGTTTTGCCGTTTTGTGAGTGTGTTGTTGTGTTGTTTTTCATTTTGAGTAGATATGTTTGTACCTTGTGGGTTGTGTTATGGGCATGGGAATTTCGGTTAAGTTTCGTTGGGGTTTTTTTGAGTTTTGTGGCTCCATTGGATGCCCCTAACAAATTTATATATATAGATAAAACATTTATATTCTGCCCTTCTCACCCCAAAGACGACTCAGGGTGGAGAACAGCATATACACAGCAAACATTCAATGTCGGGACACAAATTCACATATAATACATAAACATTTATCAAAATATTATAATACACTATTTAAAATTGTCCTAATCTATCTACCTGGAGGATTGCTAGGAGTTGCAGTCCAGGAATAGGAAATTGGAAATATGCCGGGATTGGGATGATCTCAAAGAAATCCAAGGAGAAGAAAGCTTACATCCTCCTCTCCTAAAGGCGCTTACCTGCTGTACCCCGTCAGGAATGTCATATATCACTTTCAGTGTTGGGTCTCGATAATAGCCAGGGAGGAACTGGGACAAGGTGGCAGCTGTGAAAGTTCCAGGGATGGTGGGTGTTACAGGGCATGACGTTACATGACCATGAGGTGGAGAAATGTTCTCTGTTGAAGGGTGGGCCCTGGAAAGGATGTGGCGGCAGGGGATGTGGGGGGAACTTGGACACAGCTCACACTCCCCAGCTGTGGATTCCCTTCCTGGCGGGGCAGCTCTTAGGTTCATGTCTAAGGCAACTCCTTCCTCAGCTGGCAAGGTGTGTTTGCCTGCTGTTTTAGATGGTGTCGACTCAAAAGCAACTTGAGGAAGAATAGGCAAAGACTGAGGACCCCTCTCGGCTATCCGGCTGCCTCCCTCTCTGCTGCAGCTCTGCCCAAAGTGGAACTTGTCTGGCAATCCCAGCCTGAGTTCTGCAACTGACTTTTTGAGGCGGCTTTGCTTGCTGGCATCTGAGTTTTTGTCAAGGCTCTGGTCACTGGGGAAATTGTGCATCAATGGATGGGCGCCCCCGACACCTAGCAATCTCTCAGTCTGGGAGGACCATTTCTCCCCAGGAAGACCCTCTGATAAGTTGACTCCACTGTCTTCCCTCAGCTGCTGGAGACTCTTCTGGATCTCATCTTGCCTCTTCTCTTGCTGTGTCTCAGAAGAGTAGAGACTCTTAGACAAGGAAGCCATCCTCTTCTCGGAGAAAGAGCGGAATGCCTCCTTGATCTGCAACTTCATTTCACGGGGGTAGGCAAGGCTTAACATATACCTTTCTCGTTTGACAAGAACATTATCATGGCAGCCTTTCAGGTAATTACATAGGCCAGTCAGAGCCTCATCTTCAGGTCCTTCTACAGATAGCTCAGAGTAACTGAAGCTGTCCATTATGTAGTCAAAATTTTGTGTTTTTTTAATGTCTAAAGGCTCTCCATCATCCTTTTGGCCTGTAAGTGAAGCAGAAACTCCGGTATATATATCCTGAAAATCCCTCTCCCGCTCTTTCTCCATCTGAGATGCCCCTTCCTTGCTTTTCTGCAGAATTTGGTGATGTTCTTGAATCTCTTGCTTCAAGTGGTCCATGTTGGCTACTATTTGTGACTCATCCATGAATGTGCTACTGTCCAGTGGGTTTTGTAAACTGTTGGACCTTCTGAGAAAAGGCCTTTGTTTTGAAACTTTGTGGTCTCCATACCTTGTGGTATCAAAAAGGTTTAAGGATCTGAAAGTATTGGAACCAATGTGGGGGGATGAAGGCCTCTCAAGGCCAAATCTTGTCATGCCCTCAGTACCTGAAAAAGACATGGGATGCAGTAGATCTCCCTTCAGTCCTTGTGGTGCATTCTCAACCTGCATGGATTGCCTCATCTGGTCCTCCGATTTATTATCAGTAGTAGATAAAAACTGCAGTTCACTGTTTCGGATCTGGTAATCAGCTATCTGAAGGAAGTCTCCAGGAAGTTGCTCTACCAATGGGTTATCTTGAGATGAATTAGATGAAAGAGAGACACTAGAGCTGAATTTGGCAGCCAGTTTGTGCTTAGCTTTGTCACTGAATGTTGGTGAGCTCGGTTTCCTTGGCACAGACCCTGTAGGAAACTCCAGCTGGGTTGGCACAACATGCAAGTGTGAAGTTTGAGGCATACCAGGCTTCTGATGATCCTGCACGACTTTCCTTGCCGCAATGAACTCTTGAACAAGTAGTTTTGCTTGAGAAATGTCTACCAAATTCCCAACAAGACAGAGATACTCGTGATCTTCATGGCACAATAGTTGTGGGCAGAGCTTACGCAGCTCCCTCAGAAGTTCTGTGTCCCCTTCCACCCCTAATTCTTTCCTACTGATCTTCTCTTTGCGCAAAGTGCCTTCTAACTTCTGGGAAAGTCTAGAGATGGCCAGGTGAGCAGACACAAGCGTAGTCATGCTTCCAGTCTCACTGGATGAAGCTTGGAAATACAAGGTGGTGACTCCATCACTGCTGACATCTACTACATCCACCTTGTGCTGGCTCAAGACATGGTTGATTTCTTCACTGCAGAATGCCTGCATATAACAGTAAACATCAGAGTCGATCACCAAAGAGAAATCCTCCATTGGCTCAAAATGGCTCTCTCCAAAGTTTCGGGCAGGTAACAGGTTGCCATCAATCTCTTTCTTCTCTCGTTGTGTCTCCTGGTGTGAGACTCCATTTCCTGAAGGTTTGGCTGAAGATCTCTTTTGACTTGCAGAGAGACTTCTGCTTTGCTTGTTCTTGAGGCATCTCAGCAGTTCAGAACTGAAGGCCTGCAATATTGTGTAGGACCCTTTGGCACAGCATGTCATCTCCTGGGAGTCAAACTTGATGCGTACATCTTCGTATTGCTTCTGGAGACGGCAGATAATCTCTTTCCCATTGGGGAAACTTCGATAATCAATCTTCATGTTGACGCACACGAAGACCTGAGGAAACAGAGTTAGAGCTTTGTTAGTTACATAATAATAATACGAGGGGTATTTTTTAAATAATGTCAATTTTGTTGTAGACACTAGTAGTTCGCGCGCATACCGCAACGAGCGCATGCGTCGTGTACCGGCATGCCTCGGGAACAACTGTGCTCAGTTTCCGCTCTGTAGTTAACCTATACGGTTCTGTTCTGTGCTTTAAAAATGTTTAAGACTATCAACTCACCCGCCGCATGTGAGATTCGCTCAGTGATACGGTTTTTGTCAGCAAGGAAAAGTGTACGGTGATACTGTTATGAGTGAAAGCAAAGTGCGTAAATGGGTACGACAATTCAAAGATGGCCATGACAACGTCCATGATGAGGACCGCTTCTTTGATTACAGACGATTTGGTGGCTTCAGTTGAAGCGAGGATTCGTGAGAACAGGCGCTTCACAATAACAGGTCTCTCAAACGAATTTCCTGACGAATTACCCACTTACGCACTTTGCTTTCACTCATAACAGTATCACCGTACACTTCACAAATCTGTCGATGAATTTCTGCAGCAGGCAGGTTCCTTGCTGACAAAAACCGTATCACTGAGCAAACCTGATGGAATTGAAACAAAAGTGGCACACAGGACTCCCATGACCAACAGAAAACACTAGAAGAGGTTGGTGGGCATTGACCTTGAGTTTTGGAGTTGTAGTTCACCTACAACCAGAGAGCACTGTGGACTCAAACAATGATGGATCTGGACCAAACTTGGCACGAATATTCCATATGCCCAAATATGAACACAGATGGAGTTTAGGAAAAATAGACCTTGATATTTGGGAGTTGTAGTTACTGGGATTTATAGTTCACCTACAATCAAAGAGCATTCTGAACCCCACCAACGACAGATTTGGGGCAAACTTCCCACACTAAACCCCCATGACCAAGAGAAAATACTTAAGGCCATCCAGTCCAATTCCCTTCATCAGGGCAAGAAAATGTAATCAAAGCCCTCCTGACAAAGAGCCATCCAGCCATAGATATAGATAGAGATATATGATTCACACACAGAGATATATAATATCATAGATTTGAAAGGGACCCCTGAAGAAGGACAATTATATGTTGCATGTTCCAGAGTAGGCAAACCAGACCATCTCCACATCAACACTGAAAAGGAACAGCAAGAAATACTGTTTACCCACAAGAATAAAGAAATTAAATATATTAGAAACCAATGCTTTCTCATTGCTTTTCCAGATCACCAGACTGGGCCACAGCAACGCATGGCAGGGGATGGCTAGTCTATATAAATAAAAATGTAATGTTTGTTTGTGGGATTAACAGAACTCAAAAACCACTGGATGAATTGACACCAAATTTGGACACAAGACACCTATCATGCCAACAAGTGACCATCACTCATAAAAACGCTGAAAAACACAGAGAAAGGGACTTAAAAAGCCAAAAAAAGCTAAAAGACGTCACAGCTCACAGGCAAAAATGACTCCCCCTGCTAACAAAACACACAATAGCATATCCCCACTCTCTTCTGGACTACAGCTCCCAGCACCCTCTAGACCAGGCCCTTTAGAAGTGGAGAATGATCCAAATGCACTGCTTCCAAGCTGCAAGCCGCCTTCTCCTCAGATCTCTTTGAGAGCACCCCAATCCCTGCATATTTCCAATTTCCTATTCCTGGACTGCAACTCCCACCAATCCTCCAGATCAGTGGTTCTCAACTTTACTCATGCTGCAACCCCTTAAGACAATTCCGCATGTTGTGGTGACCCCCAACGATAAAATTATTTTCCTTCCTACTTCATAACTGTCATTTTGCTACTGCTATCAATCGTAAATATTGGATATGCAGTATGTATTTTCATTCACTGGACCAAATTTGCTACAAATACCCTATACAGCCAGATTTGAATTATTGGTGGGGTTGGGGGGAATTGATTTTGTCATTTGGGAGTTGTGGTTGCTGGGATTTATAGTTCATCCGCAATCAAGGAGCATTCTGAACCCCACCAACGATGGAATTGAAGCAGTCTTGGCACACAGAACTCCCATGATCAATAGAAAATACTGGAAGGGTTTGGTGGACATTGACCTTGATTTTGGGAGTTGTAGTTCACCTACATCAGAGAGCACTGTGGACTCAAACAATGATGGATCTGGACCAAACTTGGCACGAATACTCAATATGCCCAAATGTGAACACCGGTGTAATTTGGGGAAAATAGACCTTGATATTTTGGGAGTTGTAGTTGCTGGGATTTATAGTTCACCTACAATCAAAGATCATTCTGAACCCCACAAATGACAAAATTGGGCCAAACGTCCCACATAGAACCCCCATGACCAACAGAAACTGCTGTGTTTTCTGATGGTCTTTAGTGACCCCTCTGACACTCCTTCGTGACCCCTTCAGGGGTCCTGACCCCTAGGTTGAGAACCACTGCTCCAGATAGACAGATTAGATGGAGATAGACTGGTAGGTAGACAGATCGATCAGGAGGACTGCTGGGAGTTGCAGTCCATGAATAGGTAGAGAAGGAAGAAAGGGGAGAAAGCAAAAGGGAAAGAGAAGAGGGGAAGGAAGGGAAGAGAAGGCAGGAAGGAGAGAAGGAAAGAAAAAAAGGGAAAGAAGAAGAGAAAGATAGAAGGAGAGAAAGAGGGAAGATTGGCCACAGCAATGCGTGGTGGATATAGCTAGTATCTTTATCTATATCAAATAGAACAAAAAATATGCAGATTTTTCTTTTTAGTCGTCTATTTTCTCTACCAGATATAGCACTTCACTCTCATGTTCCCGCATGGGGAGCTGGAGGTGACAGAGAGAGCTTATTCGTGCTCTCCCCGGATTCAAACCTCCGACCTATCAGTCTTCAGTCCTGCCGGCACAAGGGTTTAACCCATGGCACCACCGGGGTTAAACCCTTGTGCCAGCAGGGTTACAGGGAACCCTGCTGGCACAAGTCACAAGGAAGGAGAATCTGAAACTCTTTTAGCCTCTGAAGAGATGAGAGGTTAAAAGAGTTTCAGATTCTCCTTCCCTATGACTTAAGTTGAGCTTTCTCATTCAAGTCTTCGCTTCTTGGAGGAAAAGGAGTGCTGAATAGTTCTTCTTTAGCAATCTTATCAGTCTTGTTTATGGTGTTTAGCAATACAATTTACTTATTCGGGCACTTCTGCCTCTTTAGGACAGACTTCCATAACAGCAGCTGCCTGACCTTGCCCTTATCTTCAAGTTTAGGGAGAACAATAGTTGTTTTGTATCTCAGGCTGATGAATATTAATTCTTACTGTCCACAAAATCTAATCTGTCTTCCACTTCACATTCCCATTGCTTCCTTTTCTTTTGCATTTAAGCTTCCTGGCTCATTTAAAATCTTATTAAAAAATGTTTTTGAGGCCGATCACACAAATTCACAGAAATTATTTCTGTCTTTGGGGTTCAAAAGCCCTTTGAATGTTCATTTCCAAGTCATTTCCGCTGAATTTAGTGGTGCATGTGTCACTTTGCTGGGACAACTAATGACACGACGAGGACACAATGATGCTTTTGGTCCTACTCGACTCGCCACATTCAATTGCCACAATCCTATGAGAAGGGAACAATGGACACTTGTAGTCGAGGCTCAGGTCCTCTTTGGCCTGTGAAAAAGATTACCCTGATCTGAACAAACTAGCATCTGCCTTGTCATTGACTGCTTACAAGGCTTGATCACTCACTGCCATCTTCAGTCCATAAGAAAAAACTGCCCAGTTAAGAAAATACTTTGTGTAGCTGGCGGCTTCAGAGGCAAAACAAACAAACAAACAAACAGCAGTTGCCATGATACCAAACCATTCCTTGTAGAGCAGCAATTACAGGAGCTGCAAAGGGATCATTCAAAAAGATGGCCTAAGGCAGTGCTTCTCAACTTGGGGGTCGAGACCCATGGGGGGGATCACCAAAGATCATCAGAAAGCGCAGTATTTTCTGTTGGTCATGAGGTTCTGTGTGGGAAGTTTGTCCCAATTCTATTGTTGGTGGTGTTCAGAATGCTCTTTGATTGTAGGTGAACTATAAATCCCAGCAACTACAACTCCCAAATGGCAAGGTCTATTTTCCCCAAACTCCACTAGTATTCACATTTGGGCGTATTGTGCATTCATGCCACATTTGGTCCTGATCCCTCATGGTTTGAGTCCACAGTGCTCCCTGGTTGTAGGTGAACTACAACTCCAAAACTCAAGGTCAATGCCCACCAAACGCTTCCAATATTTTCTTTTGGTCATGCGAGTTCTGTGTGCCGATTTGGTTCAATTCCATCATTGGTGGAGATCAGAATGCTCTTTGAGTGTAGGTGAACTATAAATCCCAGTTACTACAACTCCCAAATGTCAAGGTTGATTTTCCCCAAACTCCACCAGTGTGTTCACATTTGGGCATATTGAGTATTTGTGCCAAGTTTGGTCCAGATCTATTATTGTTTGAGTCCACAGTGCTCTCTGGGTGTAGGTGAACTACAACTCCCAAACTCAAGGTCAGCGCCCACCAAACTTTTCCAGCATTTTCTGTTGGTCACGGGAGTTCTGTGTGCTATGTTTGGTTCAATTGCATCATTGGTGGAGTTCAGAATGCTCTTTGATTGTAGGTTCACTATAAATCCCAGCAACGACAACTTCCAAATTGCAAAATCAATCCCTCACAACCCCATCAGTATTCAAATTGGGGCGTATCGGGTATTTGTGCCAAATTTGGTCCAGTGAATGAAAATACAACCTGCATATAAGATATTTACATTATGATTCATAACAATAACAAAATGGGAGTTATGAAGTAGCAACGAAAATAACGTTATTGTTGGGGGTCAGCACAAATATGAAGAACTGGATGAAGGGATTGCGGCATTAGGAAGGTTGAGAAACACTGGTCTAAGGTCTCACTCTTTGGCACCACCACCTTCCTGAAAGAGTCTCCTTTTCAACCACCTTCATTAACCACTTACTATAGTGAAGCAGCGAGAGCGTGTGTCTCCCTGTCTCTCACTTAGGAAGATCTTAAGTTTCAAAAGGTATGGTTGTTCCACCACTGGCATTACCCCTAACTCACACCCGAAAGGGACTGAAAGGGGATGACAGCTTCACCAAGTTGTCACCCCTTCAGAGACATGGTGTAATGGAGTTGCTATGATACTTCATCACTATGATACTTCATCTTGTTGAAAGGAAGCTTCCAACTGGAATGAAAATAATCTATCAGACAGATGGAAAGTTATTTAATCTCAACAGACTGAAAGCCAAAACCAAGATTACAACATATGTTATAAAATTCCAATATGCTGATGACAATGTCGTCTGTGCACATTCTGAAGATGACCTACAAGCCACTCTAACCACCTTCGCAAAAGCATACGAGAAGCTCGGCCTGTCTTTGAACATCGAGAAAACAAAAGTGCTCTTCCAGCACTCACCTGCCAATCATTCCCCAATGCCAGAAATACAGCTTAATGGTGTAACATTAGAAAATGCTGACCATTTCCACTACCTTGGCAGCCACCTCTCCACAAAAGTCAACATCGACACCGAAATACAACACCGCCTGAGCTCTACGAGTGCAGCATTTTTCCGAATGAAGCAGAGAGTCTTTGAGGACTGGGACATCAATAGGGATACCAAGGTGCTTGTTTATAAAGCTATTGTCCTCCCAACCCTGCTATTTGCCTGCGAAACGTGGACTGTTTACAGACGTCACACTCAACTCCTGGAACGATTCCATCAGCGCTGCCTCCAGAAAATCCTGCAAATCTCTTGGGATTACAGGTGGACAAACGTCAGTGTGGACCCAGCATCTGGACAACGTGGCCAGTCCAGCGGAGTTGATGGCGGAGGACCATCGCTTCAATGCTGGTGGTCTTTGCTTCTTCTAGCACACTGTTTGTCCGCCTGTCTTCCCAAGAGATTTGCAGGATTTTTCAGAGGCAGCGCTGATGGAATTGTTCCAGTTGCATATGATGTCTGTAGACAGTCCACGTTTTGCAGGCGTATAGCAGGGTTGGGAGGACAATAGCTTTACAAACAAGCACCTTGGAATCCCTACGGATGTCCTGGTCCTCAAACACTCTCTGCTTCTTTCGGAAGAATGCTGCACACGCAGAGCTCAGGCAGTGTGTATTTCAGTGTCGATGTTGACTTTTGTGGAGAGGTGGCTGCCAAGGTAGAGGAAATAGTCAACATTTTCTAATGTTACACCATTAAGCTGTATCAAGCCATGTAGGAGCCTTTGTGATACAAAGAGGCAAGCCAACAAACATATAGACATACATATTCTCTCTCACACACACACATATGTACATAGAACAACTATGGGAGGTCTAAGGGCATCATTTTGTGGACCTTTAGAAAAGGTTGTCCTTCCATTCACACTAAAATAGCATTTAAACAGAGAAGGGAAGCATGCTGTAGTGGTTCATGGTTTCCAGGTCAGTGGGGCAGCTAATCCATTCTGGGTTTTAGTCTGAAATATCCCAAACTAGGGTCAGCACTGTGGTTATCTTTCATGGGGCTCTTCCAGACAGGTCTTATATCCCAGGATCTGATCCCAGGTTTTCTGTTTATCCCAGATCATCTGGCAGTGCAGACTCATATAATCCAGTTTAAAGCAAAAAGCCTGGGATCTGATCCTGGGATGAAGGGCCTCATCACATTAGAGAAAAAAATCAACTTAAAATCCGGTTTCTGCTTCTTGAAGAATTTTAGGGTTTGGGGGGAGCCTTTAAACAGCCTCGCTAAACTACAAATCCCAGAATTCTGCAGGAGGCAGAAAACAGACTTTAAGTGCATATTTTCTCTAGTGATATTGACAAGCTGGAATTATATTGACAAGTTGGAATGTGTGCAAAGGAGGGCAACTAAAATGATCAAGGGTCTGGAGAACAAGTCCTATGAGGAGCGGCTTAAGGAGCTGGGCATGTTTAGTCCGAAGAAGAGAAGACTGAGGAGATATGATAGCCATGTATAAATACGTGAGAGGAAGTTGCAGGGAGGAGGGAGCAAGCTTGTTTTCTACTGCCCTGGAGACTAGGATGCAGATAATCTGTTTATCCCAGATTATCTGGCACTGCAGACTCATATAATCTAGTTTAAAGCAAAAAGGCTGGGATCAGATCCTGGGATGAAGGGCCTCATCACATTAGAGGAAAACATCCACTTAAAATCCGGTTTCTGCTTCTTGAAGAATTTTAGGGTTTAAGGGGGAGCCTTTAAACAGCCTCACTAAACTACAAATCCCAGAATTCTGCAGGAGGCAGAAAACAGACTTTAAGTGCATATTTTCTCTAGTGATATTGACAAGCTGGAATTATACTGACAAGTTGGAATGTGTGCAAAGGAGGGCAACTAAAATGATCAAGGGTCTGGAGAACAAGTCCTATGAGGAGCGGCTTAAGGAGATGGGCATGTTTCGTCTGAAGAAAAGAAGACTGAGAGGAGATATGATAGCCATGTATAAATACGTGAGAGGAAGTCACAGGGAGGAGGGAGCAAGCTTGTTATCTGCTGCCCTGGAGACTAGGACGCAGAACAATGGCTTCAAACTACAAGAAAAGGAGATTCCATCTGAACATGAGGAAGAACTTCCTGACTGTGAGAGCCGTTCAGCAGTGGAACTCTCTGCCCTGGAGTATAGTGGAGGCTCCTTCTTTAAGTTTTTAAACAGAAGCTGGATGGCCATCTGTCAGGGGTGCTTTGAATGCAATATTCCTGCTTTTTGGCAGGGGGTTGGACTGGATGGCCCATGAGGTCTCTTCCAACTCTATGATTCTATGATGAAAGTGATCGTGTCTGTCTGGAAGGGCCTTTAAACACCTTATCTAAAAACGAATTTGTTGCTCCTACTGACAGGGAAGCCACCAGTTGCTACTAGAGTTGTGGCTCTCTCTTTTTTTTGGATTGAGAAGTCTTGCTGGGACCCTGGGTTTACAAAGAAGGCTTCTGAGGACAGCATGCAACTCGTAGGTCATACGGTTCCCACTTCAGAAGTATTGGCAACGCCACATCAAGTTTCTCCCACTGTCACAGCATGTCACCCAGCTTGTTACCTCATTGGGATTGAGTTCAGCTGGCTTTGGAGTCACTTCCAAAGGGTACTTTTTCCCATCGACAGACAAGATATGCTCTTTTGTCTTCAGAACCCGCTGGGCCACTGAATGGGGGGGAAAAAGACAATCAAACGAAGGCAGCAGGAAACCTTTCTCTTCCAAAAGGACCTGGGAGCGGGACAAAAACCCCACCACAAAACCTCACCCACACATATATAACTCCTGTCACTAAGAATCTGGATTCTCGCTCCAATATTCTCAGTGCAAAATTCACATTTTGAAATCTGGATCGTAATTTTTAAAAGGCACGACCACTGTTGTGATATTGCCTTGATCTCATTTTAGTTGACTATTATTTCATTCTTTGAAAAACTTTTAAATAAATAACTCTGTAATTGTGCCTTGTTTTTTTAAGCTGTGAACGGCTTAACAAAAAGAAGGGATACGAAGCAGATCAACAAATGAACGCATCCTTTGATCTTTTGCATATTTTTCTTCATTTCTGGAACAGATTTTAACTTGCTTTTCATTTGATTGTATGTGTGGCACTGAATATCACCGTGTTGTAAGCTGCTCCGAGTCCCTCTTGGGGTGAGAGAGAGCGGGATATAAATATAGTCCCGTAGTTTCTGGCGTACTAGATGATTTTTTAAGCCTGGAAAATCTTATGAAAAGTCAGGGGTCGTCTAGTACGCCGAGTATAAATTAAAATAATAATAATAATTAAAAGAAAAGAATAAAATCTCTCTTAGTGGTGCGGACTGAGGAGGGAGGTAGGAGGATGAGGAGTTCAGGCCACATTGCCATGGAGTGATGGGGTGATGGCCTGCTGGGTTTTCCCTGCGGCCCCCCACCGCTCTCCCCACTCTACCTTCAAGGCCCTCCTCCACCCCCACCACTCACCTCCTCCGAAGGCCACTGGGCTCACCTAGGCCCAAGGAAGCACCTCCGGACAACTCCCCGCAGCCCTGGGCGATGGCGTGCCTTGAATATGTTTGCAGAGGCATTCTGGGAGCCATAGTTCCCTGACTCCTACTGCTCTCAGAATGCCTCAGCAAGCACATCCAACGCACGCCGCCTGGGGCAGCTGGGAGTCGTCATCCGGAGGGGCAAGGAAGCACCTCCGGATGATGACTCCCAGGAGCCCCGGGCAGAGTCCCAGCAGCTCCCGGATAGGAGTAAGTCGTAGCAGGATCAAGTCTCTGTGTTAAAGAAAAACCTTGTGATGTTAATTATTATGTACCGCTGGTAATGTAGGTCAGCCAGCATGTTTGGGCCACACCGGTTGAGGTATAACTGTATGGATTTCAGAATACAGTTTGGAGAAGTAATATGCTGCTCGAAAGGAGATGCCGCAATGCTGCTATGCTCTAACAGCGATGCCCTTTGCTATGGTGGAATAGCTATTTACTCAAGGTTTATGTTTTGCTCTCTCATTTGAAGAAAGATGAAGAAGCCCTATTCTGTGTTACTTACAAGGGGTATGTAAGTTCGTTGCACTGTCTGATTTTGTATCCAACACTGCAAATTTATGTTTATTGCCTCTGCTGATAAGAATAAAGTTTTTCTGTTACTTTCTCCTCTTGCCTGTGTGTCTTTTGCATGGGACTTGACTGCTCTGAGTCCCCCCACCCCCAGGGGTTGAGAAGGGCTGGGTAAAAATGCTGCAAATAAATAAATAAATAAATAAAATCTGCTGCTGCTCAACAGGAGTCAGTAGTTCCCTGACAGAGGAAGAGATTCAACTGAAAAGAAGTACTTCCTGAGAGTAAAAGCTGTTGGAGAGTGGCATAGGCTACCTGGGAGTGTGGTGGTCTCCTTCTATGGAGGCTTTTTGCAGAGGCTGTCTATTGGGAGTGCTTTGATAGTGCCTTCCTGCATGGCAGGAGGTTGGACTGGATGGCCCTTGGGGGTCTCTTCCAGCTCTAGGATTCTAGGATTATATATCAGGAGTAGGAAATAGATACACTTTTTTCTCCTATCCACCATGCCATTCAGCACAAGCGAGACAACGCCAAAAAAGCTGCCATTCCTCTAAATTAGGAAGAAATAGGCTGCCTCTCGCCATGAGGAGAGCAAAGAAACAGGACTGGATGAGCTGAGTTAGCTGGGAAAGAGACCGAGAGAGCATAGAATTCTGGGAAATGTAGTTTGGGAAAGCCCTTGCTCCTCAGCCTTATGGTAGAGAATTCAAAAGGCCCTGCTCTAAACTACATTTCACAGGATTCTGCTCAGCATCAGAAAGCCCCAATGAGATTAGGAGAGAGCTATTTTCCCTTCGTAGCAACGGTCAGCCAGCCACACATTTTACAATTCTGCAAACAGGAGGACTGACTGATACTTCAATATTAGTAAAGTAAATCTGTGCTGGGAAGAAATCCCTAAATTGAAGTTCTTTTGGTTAAAGCCCTATGAGGAGCAGCTTAAAGAGCTGGGCATGTTTAGCCTGAAGAAGAGAAGGCTGAGAGGAGACATGATAGCCATGTATAAACATGTGAGGGGAAGTCATAGGGAGGAGGGAGCAAGCTTGTTTTCTACTGCCCTGGAGATGAGGACGCAGAACAATGGCTTCAAACTACAGGAAAGGAGATTCCATCTGAACTTTAGGAAGAACTTCCTCACTGTGAAAGATGTTCAGCAATGGAACTCTCTGCCCTGGAGTGTGGTGGAGGCTCCTTCTTCGGAGGCTTTTAAACAGAGGCTAGATGGCCATCTGTTGGTGTGCTTTGAATTTGATTGTCCTGCTTCTTGGTAGAGGATTGGACTGGATGGCCCACTAGGTCTCTTCCAACTCTATGATTCTATGATTCTAAAGACATTCAATGAGATAGCTGTTGTGGCTTTTAAAAAAAAATGTTTTTTGTCAAAACTCAAAATCAATAGATGTATGAATATTTCTGAAATTTGGGAGAAATGAACCCCTGTTATCTTGTTTCATTTTATAGAAAATTCAGTGAGATTGCTCTTGTAGGTTTTTTGAAAAAAATGTTGCTTGTAAACACTTTGAAAATTTCCTGCAAAATGTCCTCAGAAGCACTTTAACTACCCATTGAGTTGCTCTCCCTACATTTCCTTTAAAACCCTCCTGCTTGGATACATCCTATCTCTGTTCACACCCAGTGTTTATTTTAAAATTTTAAACTATTACATCTAGCCCGGCCATAGGTTTTTAAATTTTTAAATTTTTGTGTATTATTGCCTATAGGTGAGTTATATTAATTGTCTCTGTGCCCGTGTATCTTGTAACTTTTATATTGTTATGTTTTTGTATGTTTTATGTAATTATGATGTTGTTCATTCATTGTTTGCATTTTCCGTTGTGTTTCGGTTTTCTTTACTGTAATTGTTGTTCGGGCTTGGCCCCATGTAAGCCAATCCGAGTCCCCATCGGAGAGATGGTTTGCGGGGTATAAATAAAGTTTATTATTATTATTATTATTATTATTGATGTTTTATTTGCTTATTTTTTTGCTGTTTTACTGATGCGTTGTTGTTTGGCTTGGCCTCGCGTAAGCCACCCCGAGTCCCCTTGGGGAGATAGTGTTGGGGTATAAATAAAGTTTTATTATTTATTATTATAAAATTCCCCAAAAATCCATGCATGAATGAAATGTTCTGAAACTTGATGGGCTAACAGTGGTAAATATGCTCTATAATCGTAGCGAGTTTCATGTCAATAGCTCTAACAATGAGGGACAAAGCAGCTACTGAAATTTCCCCATTGGCACAACTATGTAATGAAAAGTAACAAAAAAGTAGTTAATCCAGTATAGTTACAATACAGACCCCGTCCAATAGGTTTGGTTGATCCAAAAAAAAAAAGGTTCAAAATTCGTTTCAGATGTAGAGGGCGCTGGCAATTCGATTTTGAAATGATTTCTGAAATTTTCTTGAAAAAAAGATCAGAAATATCAGAAGTCCGAATCGCTTCGTTAATGGACGTTGCCTCTCCCTCCCCTGTTTTTCCAGCTGATTTTAACTTTTTTGTCCCTGATGGGGATTCAAACCTGGAGAGTTCTGTTTGCAAGGCGGGAGCACTCCCAGTAGGCTATTTCCCAGCCATTGAGTTGCATGAGAAAATAGGAATGTTTATCTTCTCTCGATCTTTGCACTGTTTCTTTGTATACATGGGTGCGAGAGAGATCTGTGATGTTTGGATGTCTCCCACAGTTATTTTGGTTTTCAGAACCATTAAGTAACTTTGGCAAAGCCTACAAACAGTTTTAAAATCCCGCAGTTTCCCTTCCTTGGCGGCGAGCAGCAATGCAGAGGGGCGAGGTGGGAGTGGCTAAGCACAGCTCTTCTTGAAGGCCACTGTGGGCGTGGCCTTCAAGAAGAGCTGTGCTTAGCCACGCCTACCTCGTCCCTCTGCATCACCGTTTGCCGCCAGAGAAGAGAAATTGCAAGATTTTAAAACCGTTTGTTAGGCTTTGCCAAAGTTACTTAATGGTTCTGAAAATCAAAATAACTGTGGGAGACATCCGAAAATAATTCCGAACAATGGGTAAGTGGTTTCAATTCGGAATTGCTCCTCCCACAATTCTGCATGGTTCCAAATTGGTTCAAAAGGGAATTTAATCCGAATTAATTCCGATTTAAGAAGCTTCTGAACAAACTTGACCAAGCCTACCGTCCAACTTTGGAAACACTTTCGAAACGCTTTTCCCCACCTCCTAATTTTGTAATGAGTTTTTTTTTTCATTTGATCACACAGGCCGAATAAATAAAAGGACACGCCACCTACTACTCCTTTTTACCCCCTCCCTGTTTGTACAAAGACTACAATCATTATATCAAATATTTTCACTGCTTGTCTAGTGACCTGTTGCGTCCTCAAAGGTGATCACAGCACAGTCAGGGAACTCTGGTGTAAATTCAATGTTGACGATCTCTCCTCCACCATTGCGTGTTCTCAGAAAATGGATCATCAGCTTGTCAACAATCCGTTCCGGTGGCAAACTGGCAGGATACCCCCGGACGCAGACACTACAGCAGGCGGACATGCTGTCAAATCTGGAAGGGAAATGTATGTGTGAACTGAAAGTCTGGCAAGCTTTTGGTTTATCCACATCTTTGGTTCGCTGTTCATACACCTGAAATTTCAAGCTAACTGCTTCTTATAGCTGCAAGACAGACCTTGGAAATGTTGAAAATTCAATCAATAGATACCAATGAGGGGAAAGTTGGAAACTGAATATGTTAAGTTAAACATTAATGCATATGTCAGTGTAATTATATGTAAAATATTATGTTCTATTGTGTGTAATGTATATTTCAGTTTTATATGGATGTCTAGTGCGGTATTTCCTAACCTTCCTAATGCCGCGACCCCTTAATACAGTTCCTCATGTTGTAAAATTATCCCAAACATCAGTGATTTTTAGTCTCTACATAAATAAAAAGTCAATGTATGTTTGTCTGACAGTTTGTACCACAAAGGCAGTTGCTAGGTGAAGCAGCCCTCTGTGGTATCACTGGAAAAGAAAGGTGACATTTGTATGAGAGGAAGGGAGGGAGAAAGGAAGAAAGAAAAGGGGGGGGAAGGAGGGAAGGGGAAGGAGAGAAGAAGGAGAGAAGAAAGAATGAGGAAGAAAAGAAAGAAGAAAGAGAAAAGGGAGAAGGAGGAAGGAGAGAGAGGAGGGGAGAAAGAAAAGAAAAGAAAAGAGGAAATAAAGGTAAAAGAAACAAAAGAGGTATGAGGGAAAGCAAGAAGGGAAGACAGAGAGAGAGAGGTGGGGAAGGAAAGAAAAAGTCACAAAGAGAGCCTACCAATCAGGAAAGAAAGAAGGGGGCAGTTAAAGAAAAGAAAGGAGGGAGGGAGAAGAAAAATAGAGGGAAGAGAGGAAAGGATGAAGGAAGAAAGAGAAAGGAAAAAAAGGAAGAAAGAGAAGGGGGGAAAGAGAGAAGAAAAGAAAGGGAAGAAAAGAAAAGAAAAGAAAAGAAAGGGAAAGAAAAAGAAGAAAAGAAAGGAAAAAGAAGGGGAAAGAGGTATGAGGGAAAGCAAGAAGGAAAGACAGAAAAGAGAGATGGGGAAGGAAAGAAAAAGTCACAAAGAGAGCCTACCCATCAGATTATTGCCATGGAGACATTGTGAGATAGGAGTTCTCAGAGCTGGAGAAGGGAGAAAGTAGGCAAGCAGCAGTCCTAACAACACCGGGTATATACACTAGTCTATATAAATAAAAATGTAATGTTCATTTGTGGGATTAACATAACTCGGAAACCACTGGACGAATTGACACCAAATTTGGACACAATACACCTAACAGGCCAACGAGTGACTGTCATTCATAAAAACACTGAAAAACACACTGGAAGAGACTTAAAAAGCAAAAAAAAACCATTATAATTTTCTCTTCTCTCCTTCTATTTCCTTCTTTATAAAGATTCTTTTTTCCCTCTTTTTTCTTCTTTTTTTGATTTTATATTTGTCTCAGAAAATTCAATAAAGATATTTGAAAACATTACATTATAACGCATGCGCAAAACCACACATATATACATACACACACAGGGCCACAGCAACACGTGGCAGGGGATGGCTAGTATGTACATAAAATCACAACAAAAAAGGCAGGGGTGGGGGGCGAAAACATTTTTACAACTTCCAGCCATCTTGATATGTTTGGTTTTGAATGTGACATACATCTACTTGTAGAAAAACGTCACAAATATGTTTAAGGCACTTTGAGCATGGGACAAGGGACAAAAAATGGGATTCTTCCTCTTGGGAAAACAGTAGGGAATTTGTCGAAGGCTTTCATGGCTGGAATCACTGGGTTGTTGTAGGTTTTTTTGGGCTGTATGGCCATGGTCTAGAGGCATTCTCTCCTGACATTTCGCCTGCATCTATGGCAAGCATCCTCAGAGAGTGAGGATGCTTGCCATAGATGCAGGCAAAACGTCAGGAGAGAATGCCTCTAGACCAGTGTTTCTCAACCTGGGGGTCGGGACCCCTGGGGGGGGGGTCGTGAGAGGGTGTCTGAGGGGTCGCCAAAGACCATCAGAAAACACAGTATTTTCTTTCTTTTTTTTTTTAGATATAATCTTTATTAAATTTTCAATTTACATTTTAAAAAGATATATGTAGCCGAAGCTACTAAGAGGTGTAAGTATCAGTGTAAAGTGTGAATAGACGATATAACCCCGAAAAGAAAACACAGTATTTTCTATTGGTCATGGTTTGGGAAGTTTGGGCCAATTCTATTGTTGATGGGGTTCAGAATGCTCTTTGATTGTAGGTGAACTATAAATCCCAGCAACTACAACTCCCAAATGTCAAGGTTCTATTTTCCCCCAAACTCCACTAGTGTTCACATTTGGACATATTGAGTGTTCGTGCCAAGTTTGGTCCAGATCCATCATTGTTTGAGTCCACAGTGCTCTCTGGATTTAGGTGAACTACAACTCCCAAACTCAAGGTCAATGCCCACCAAGCCATTCTAACATTTTCTGTTGGTTATGGGAGTTCTGTGTGGCCAGGTCTGATTCAATTCCATTGTTGGTGGAGTTCAGAATGCTCTTTGATTGTAGGCAAACTATAAATCCTAGCATCTATAACTCCCAAATGATAACATCAATCAACCCCAATAGTATTCAAATTTGGGCTTATCGGGTATTTGTGCCAAATTTGGTCCATTGAATGAAAATCCATACTGCATATCAGATATTTACGATTCATAGTATTAGCAAAATGACAGTTATGAAGTAGCAGCAAAATTAATGTTATGGTTGGGGGTCACCACAACATATGGAACTGTATTAAGGGGTCGCAGCATTAGGAAGGTTGAGAACCACTGCTCTAAACCATGGCCATACAGCTCGAAAAAACCTACAACAACCCAGTAGGGAATTTAATGAAGTGGAAGTTTCTGCATCATTTTTGGGGTGAGGCAAAGTCACTTTGTGATGATGGACTCTGAAAAAAATTGAAAAAATTGGGACAACACATCTATCTATCTATTGTTGTTTAATTGGTTTTGCTGCTACTTTAACTCAATAATTTAATTTTTCTCTTAAATTACAGATTTGCATTATTTGTATTAATAAATTCATCGGTCAAGTGACTTTTGTCTTTCCGTGCACATTCCCGCTCTGATGCAAATGTCATAGGTCTGGAAAGATTCGCGGCTGGGAAATAAATATATTCAAACCCTTGCTGTGGGAGAGATTGTATTTCTCGTCTTTTTTTTTCCTTTCAAAATGAAATTTCCAGGTTTGATTCAGGAGGCCACGAGGGAGGAATCCGCCCTCCCTTCCTACCAGCCACCCCGCTGCCCCTACGTCTCCTCTGCCCAGGTCTTGACAGCATCAGCCCAGTCTCATTAGTTTCAGAGGCGACAAACAAACGAACTCCGGGAGCCTCTCGCCAGCCAGCCCCGTCTACTGGGCCGTCTCCCACATGAATAATGCAGGAACCAAAGGTCCTGCCCTGCTTAACGCGGGTGAGGAGCCGTGCGGTCGACCCCCTCAAAAGCCTTCTCGCCCCCGAACAGGTGCAAGGACTGAGTCTCCCCTCTTGAATTATTCACTAGACAGCAAATTAACATGCAGAGAGGAATGTTGTGCATGTGATAAATATTCATGATGCCTTGGGGCTTTTAAAAAAACACACTCATTAAGCCTAAGTGAAATTCAGTGGAAAGGAGAAAGAAATGAGTGTAAATATGGAGACACATGCAGGTCTGAGACAGAAGGATCCGAGTCAATAGAAGGGATATGCATCAATAGGAGCATAGTGTCTAGATCCAGGGAAGTCATGCTACCCCTCTATTCTGCCTTGGTTAGACCACACCTGGAATATTGTGTTCAATTCTGGGCACCACAATTCAAGAGAGATATTGACAAGCTGGAATGTGTCCAGAGGAGGGCGACTAAAATGATCAAGGGTCTGGAGAACAAGCCCTATGAGGAGCGGCTTAAGGAGCTGGGCATGTTTAGCCTGAAGAAGAGAAGGCTGAGAGGAGATATGATAGCCATGTATAAATATGTGAGAGGAAGCCACAGGGAGGAGGGAGCCAGCTTGTTTTCTGCTTCCCTGGAGACTAGGACACGGAACAATGGCTTCAAACTACAAGAAAGGAGATTCCATCTGAACATGCGGAAGAACTTCCTGACTGTGAGAGCCGTTCAGCAGTGGAACTCTCTGCCCAGAGTGTGGTGGAGGCTCCTTCTTTGGAAGCTTTTAAACAGAGGCTGGATGGCCATCTGTCAGGGGTGATTTGAATGCAATATTCCTGCTTCTTGGCAGGGGGTTGGACTGGATGGCCCATGAGGTCTCTTCCAACTCTTTGATTATGATTCTATGATCTATGATTGATTACTGAATTGCAATGATACCTTGACTTAAGAGTTTACCTTGTTCCGTGGCTGCACTCTTAACTCAAAACGCTCTTATCTCAAAGCGAATCTCCCTATCAAAATGCTATTATTTATTTATTTAATTGCTATATTTGTATACCGCCTTTCTCAGCCAATTGGCGACTCATGGCGGTTTCCAACAAATCAGTATACATAAAACATAATAGAAAAAAAACATTGAGCAGTATAAGACATCATAAGAACAATAAAAGCAAGCACGCCTGGTGGGGACGAGGGACAGGGCCTTCTCGGTGGTGGCCCCGTGACTCTGGAACTCTCTCCCTCTGGAGGTCAGAACTGCCCCATCCATCTTAACATTTAGGAAACGGGTGAAGACGTGGCTGTGGAGTCAGGCCTTTGACGAATGAGATAACACCATAGGACCCTGGATGGAAGTTGATGTAGACCCATCTTAATAGGACGACTGACCACTGTAGTGTTTACATATAGTGTTTTTAAAGTTGTTTTTGTAATCTGTGATATATGATATTTTAATGAGTGTTTGTTTTTATGGCTGGAACCGGGCTGAGTCCCTCAATGAGGTTGAGAAGCTCGGTATAGAAAACTGTGAAATAAATAATAAATAAATAAATAAAAGCTACATCATCAGCGTCTCATTATTCTCAAGCATTGTCCAATTCCATTGTCAGGTC